CGAAACACTATGTGAAAGCAAAATAAATAAATAAAAAAAATTGATCGACTTACAAGTTTATCTTAACGTAATATATCATCAATTAATCGCTAAACTATTTTTTCTTCACGCCCACTTTTGTACAATATGATGTATGGACGGAAATAGCAATCAATTTAAAATCTATTTTGTTTGAAATTATGGCATGATCGTGATCGTAAAACGAATTTTCGCCAAAAACGGAATCGTTCAGTCAATTGTAACCGTCGTATTGTTAATTACGTTTTAACTAAGCGCATAATTAGCCAACCCATTAATTATCGCGAATTGTATTATCAGACCAAACTGATTGGAAATAGTTCCGCGTTTGTTAAACTTCAGGCCGACGGTATCAACAAGTTTGATGGCGACTCGTTTCAACTCTGTTTACATCATGTTAATGTATTTCCAAAATCGTATCATTAGACTACATATTATTAACTGTTTTCTTAAAAGTTTGTTACATCATGCTTACCATCATACATTCCAAATTATATAACAATATAGACTATCCAACGGCCGGTTAAGTATAAGAGTCAATATAATTTTGGTTGTTAATAATTTTAATAAATATGTTAAGTAAATAATGAACCTGATTAAAAAATATTGGTATCATTCAGAACATAGAGTTAGAAGTTTGGAATTTATAGTTCCTTGTTAATAATTCTGGTCGATATGTTTCGGAGGTGCAATGACACCCTTTGGGAGTTTTGTGTCTCTAATAAAAAAACAAACGTAAAATATACAATTTTTGGTACAAAATAATTTAATTTGAGTCTTTGTTAGTGTAAAATAGATTATGTCTAACTGTTACTAACATAATTCTAAAAAGCAGAAACATTTGAGGAAGACAGGTTAATTTTATACGGTTCGCGGATAGGGGAAATAAAATGCATTGTTTGTTTATTGCTAGGCTTATTCCAAATAGTAAATAATATTTATATTAAAGTTATTAATGTTCTAGTAAGGGAGATATTACGTAAAAGAATTATTAATTGATATTAAGTGGTAATCAGTGATGTAATAGACACGTAAATAATTTTTTTTTTCTTTCTTATAATCATTCTAAATTACTATTTTTAGAAGAAAATTAGATTTTCGTGTTATGAATTTTGAGGGATCATGCCTTTTTAGCTCAAAGGGTATAGAGAATTGCCTTCGTGGCTTAAACTATTGTCAATAGTTTTTGTACTCGCTGGGAATTTTCTCTGCGGTCGTTTCTGTTGAAATTTATCCTTTTTCAAAATATATTTATGAATGAATAACTAATATGCAATGTAAATTAATAATAAAATAACTACACGAAGAAATAATAGCTACTTAAATTTCAACTATATTAATGTATTGCACACACTGCGGTTAAAAAAATGATATACGTCGTGGTTACGAATTATATTCAAATTAATCAATAAGTGTTGTATAAAAGATTGGGAAATTAATAGACCTAAGCTACATTTTATGGAAATGATTATGTACAAAAAGGTGACTTCGGAAATGAATTTTTTATTAGACTTTTATCTTAGAACATAATATTGCATGTGTTGTTTGTACAAGTATTATCAATGCATACAGTTAAGTGTGATTTTCTTGGATCACGACCGTACGCGCTTAGAATTTTAAGCGTTCATTGCAACACACTTTGCATTTAAAATTAATAATTATTTATAAACACCATTATACTTAACATCATAATATATAGTGTGTTCATGTATATGTTGGAATATTTATAAAATATTCCAACATATTTATATAAAATGCACACATAAACTTTTTTGTATTATTGCATTATATTTGGTGGTTACACTGAAAAGTATAATCGAAAAGTGGATGTATAAATAATAGAATTTTAAAAAAGTAATACGTTATTCAGACAGTTTTCTTTTCGAGGTGTTATTAATATTTATGTCTACCTTATCGAGTAGCAAGAGTTAATAAAATATTATTGAGTATATTCAATTCAAGCTTAAATTTATTGTATTTAATTAAAATTTTTTCTTGTTTAATTAGTAAATTGTGACCAAAATATATCAGTGATATTTCTTCAGAACATCATTCAAATATGTAAAACTATTTAATGAATTTCAGTATAAAATTGTATAAAACTACTAATTGTCAATATAAAATGTATAAGTAACTTAACATAACATAATTTGGATGCACTTAAATACTGTCTGTCTATAATGTTTCAAGCTACCCCCATGTATAATTCCTAGTAAAAATTGTGCAAGGCACTGCGAATAATTGTTACAACTGAGTGTTTAAACGTTTTGATAATAATACCGACAATACACTAGACTTCTGATTTATTGTCTTTTCTTGTTCACGATCGCGAGTTGAAAATTTTTAGAAATACCGTTATTTTAGTAGTTTTGTATATATTATAACCTATTTCTAACCACATAGAAATAAAAAATCAGTAGTTGAACTATTCTGTATTACATTATTGCGCGTGGAAAATGTTTTCATATGTATATACACGCACGATATCAAAATCAACATTATGGTTTTAGACAATATTGCATGCGATACTATTCAGTAAAACTAGACCAGTGCAGATTGATTAAATATCGTCAGTCCATTTATTCGCTCTATGTGGTACAACGAGTTTATGAATGGCGTGTATTTAGTATGATCAGCGCACATTTACGAACAAAGGAACCGTTTATGTGAATCGTCCAATTGTATAAAAGAACGACAGTGATGAGTATATCGATTGGACATTAGAATCCACTCATTTTGTAAGATTTGCTTAAAAAGACGTAAAAAAATGATCAAACTTTAGAATGTATGACATTATCTTCGAGGTAAAATTAGTGACAGAAATCACACATAATAAAACATACAAGTTTAGTATTTCTATGAATTAGATAATACTGTTCAAATAGGGTAAATAAATTCACTTTTGATTGACAGTATAGTTTTCGCTTATTTAATCGTGTGGTCGATGGAATTCTGAAAGAAAGAAAATCCATCAGGTCCGACTAAAAATAATCGATGGGATAACAATGTGCTCAGTGGTACTGTCTAGTGTCAACATTACGCAGCGACGTGCAGAGTGTTGTACGTGCGGCTGCAGCTCCACAGGCCGTGGAACGTGGTGGACAAACGCCGTTCACTACACCCGTTGGCTGCCCAAGGACCAAATCGTGTATTAAATAGACATTGTAGTTGCGCCAAAATAGATAACATATTTATATATGTATAAAATAAAAGACCTTGTGGAGAGAAAGAAAAAAATATTTCAGTTCATTGGCTAATACTTAATGGTCGACCACGTTTGTGTGGAAATGAGTGCAATGAAAAAGTAAAATAAACTAGATCGACGCGAATCTTCTGTACATAGTAATTATGTTTTATTGAAATCGTCTGTTATTATAAGTTAATAACTTGAATTTCTTAAAAAAAAATTCATAATAATAAATACATCGACGTAGAGTATACAATACTCTACACCGGATATTTACCGTTTCAAACAATTTTTGAGAATATATGTCCGTCTGCCTGAGGCTCACATGATAATTATTACATGTAAAATATGTTTTTTTGATGTTATTCTGACTACGCTAAGGATCTTCTATTTTTTGTACATTTGCTGTGTTATAATAAAACACCAATAAATTTAAAAAAATATATAAATCGTGTTGTTTCTTGTATCGAACAAAGTTTTATTAAATGTAATCATAATTAAATATTATGTTTTGATCAATATTAAATAAAGCAATATATTGCTTTATTAAATGATAATGTAAAATATGGCACTAATAAAATAGTTTAATACATATTAACTGGTAAAGGAATCAAAAAAATTTGTGGTGCAAAAATAATGGTGAATCTTAAAATTGATTTTTATGAATATCCAAATCAAGCACGTAAAATATTTACTGAAATAACTCGTTCAAAGATTTTTAGATTAATTAAAATTATGTTTAAGTAAATTACCCTATTCATTTCAAATACTAATAAATTACTCAAAAACATAGTTCGAGACTTGGCTCCTCGATAACCGGTTATGAACAAGTTTAAGCTGTAAGCTACTTACAATAGTATAATTAAAATTTTAAGTAGTACGAATGGGACACTAAATAGTACCCATATTGAATTAAAAATAATAAAAAAAAAAATTGTGCGAAATTATTTTACTTATATACATTTGATTCATAGCGTATATTGTAGTAAGCAAAATAACATTCTAAACAATCTGTCAATTCAATAAAAGCTTAGTTCCAATAATTTTTAATTTTTACTTTTCTAGGAATTTTCGTACAAAATTAAAAAGAAATAATCCCAAATTTTGTTAAAATGTATAGGTAAATCTATTTATTGCCATGTGATAGTGGCTACAAATGTGAATTAAAAATTTTGACAAACTTGATATTTTTTTTTCGAAGAAAGTAGTATGATTCTGATTACACATCAAGCTAGTATTTTTTAAAATACTTATTGAATAACAAAAACTTATAATAAGATAAATGCCTATTTAACAACAAACTCTAGTATTATTTTTGCTATTACCAGTATTTTCAATGATAAACTATTGTATACAGAGGTATCATTTAGCAAAGGAGCGATCGTTCGTTTTTTTTTAATTACATTGGCCTAAAAAAATGACCTTTTTATCAATGTAATGTTTTTTTGCATCCATCGGCTTTGTATTAATTGAATATTATATCATACAACCTTGTATAAGACAAGAGGGTAAAATAGTTTTAGATTCTTTTTATTTGAATATAACTACCCGTTATATATTTTTTAGATATAATGCCTAAAATATTGTCGATAGTAATCGACATAATATTTTGATTACTGTTAAATGAATAAGCAATGATTTTAATAAATTAGTTAATTATATTAAACGATGAAATATTTACTAGCCTTAAAAGTTATGCAAAAGCTTATAAATAAGTTGTTAGAAAGATTGTGAAAGGGGGTAATAATTTGATTTGTTGATAAACAAGAAGAGTAAAAAAGAACAAAAATCTCACCTTTGATACAAATTGTAAATGTGTTAATTGGTATGCCTGTAGTTTACTTTTATTTTTCTGATTACATGTCGAGAAACAAGTTTACATCATTTCTGCTATAAAAGACACGCGCTAGGAAGAAGATACGAACGTTAACGGTATTTACTCAGACGCTCGAAGCACACACTTTGCACGCGGACGCGCAACAACAACCAACGTAAGAACCAACGCGAAGACCCGTACGAACCGACTGCTCGTGTAACGCGGTGCCGGTGGAGTTCTGGTGGTCACAAACCAGAACCAGTTTCTTCTACTCTTCAAATCAAATTCCCAAGCGCGCGCCGGCGTTCCCCGAACACTGTCTTCAAGGTCTGCGACTTGCCATTTTTCTTCTGATAGATGCACAGTACTAGGAATAGGGTCATGCAACTGAGTACACATAGTACCAGTGGCAATCTTCCACTGCGTTTTCTTTCCCTCACATTCGTAAAACGTCAATTACGCGCACATACAATTAAACAACGCGAGAGGACAAACATTGCGAAAGTCCTCAGGGGTAAAAAGCGGTTAAGCCTCACGTAATAAGTAACTTCTCATTAAGTTATTGATCTCCGTTTGAGCAAATTAATTCAAAATTATTTCTTCTTGGAAATCCGCAAATTTAGGGTCTGTAAAATTATTAACGTTGTTGAAAAAATATTGTTTCTGATAATGAAATGAAAATTTATACATTCTACTATGATTATATCAGTCTAAATACGATTGACTACCAATAAAATAACTGTGCGTAAAAGCATAATAAAAATATGTTCGTGCAATTACATATTAAATTAAAAATAATAATTATTAGTACCAAAAAATTCTTTGATTACAAATAAATCAAACTGGAACGTTTTAAATTTTAAAATAGTAATATGATCATTTTTATTAAATTTGAAAACACAAATTTGTGGTTTTAGTCATATTGAGTTTTTTCTTGTATAATATGATTAATCAAGATAAATTTGAAATATTAAATAAAAAAATTAGAAAAATTTTCATTATTTGACTTAAATAGTAATTTAAAAACATATATTTTTCATAGAATATCATAATACTAACATTTTTTTTAAACTTAAGTTTTTAATTTTAATGTAAAAAAATAACTGTTAAAACATTTTTGTAATATAAGTTTAAAAATTAATTAAACATTACACTTTGATCATTAAAAATTAATAAATAATTTTTAATAAAGAAAAAAGTTCAATTAGGACAAGTAACAATCGTAGTATATAATTTATTTTTATTATGTTCATATTCCTTTACATGACTTATGTCATATTATCTGTGATTTCATAATATAAATTGTAAATAACAAAGACATAAATAAAATATAACATATTTTTCCTGTGCACTTCTTTGGTATCTTTAAAATGTTCAACATTTCTATGGCTTCATTAAAGTTTGAGTATTTCTATGGTTTCTTAAATTTTTAACATTTCTATGGCTTCATTAAATATTCAGCATTTCTATGGCTTCTTAAATAATTAACATTTATATGGCTTCATTAAATTTTGAGCATTTTTATGGCTTCTCAATATTTTCAGCATTTCTATGGCTTCATTAAATATTCAGCATTTCTATGGCTTCATTAAATATTCAGCATTTCTATGGCTTCATTAAAATTTGACATTTCTATGGCTTCATTAAAATTTGACATTTCTATGGCTTCTTAAATAATTAACATTTATATGGCTTCTCAATATTTTCAACATTTCTAGGGCTTCATTAAAGTTTGATTATTTCTATGGTTTCTTAAACTTTCAACATTTCTATAGATTCTTAAATTTTTAACATTTCTATGGCTTCATTAAATTGTTATCATTTTTATGACAATACTTTTTAAATTTACAAATACAATAAAATATAAAAGATTTTCAAAAACGGTTCATAAAATAATCTCATTAAACTGATAGACGTTATCCAGAGTAATTAAAAACTCGCATTAGAGTCCTTAAGTTGTGAAGTAAAATAAAGTAAATAAAGTCTATNTTAAGTAAAATTAAAACTATATTAAAAATATTATTAATTTAAAAAAACTAAAAAATATTAAAAATATTAAACTCAAAAGCCACAAAAAAATTAATGAAAAGTCGCGGATACGTATTTCGGAAACAATGTTACCATTATCAACGCTAAACACATACTGACAATACGACATAACATAGACGTTATCCAGAGTAATTAAAAACTCGCATTAGAGTCCTTAAGTTGTGAAGTAAAATAAAGTAAATAAAGTCTATGAATATAAGCTAATATGTAAATATAATCACATAAGGTATTAATTGTTGAATTAAAAATAAATACGTGCATAGTTCCAAAATTTTTCCTGTTAAAATAGTTATAAAAAAAAAATTGTACATGTCTTGATCTCTGTAATATATTTTTTTATTACGATAATGAAATAATACTAATGACACAAAATAATTAAAATAGTACTTAAACTTAGAAATATGTAATATTAATTTTCACATTTAGCTATTGGTTCCCGAAATAAATTTACAACTTACGCAGATACCTATAGAATCTTTAATAAAATTTATGTAAGTGTTAGAAAATATTGGACAATAAGTGCACAACAAATAAAATAATAAAAACTACATGTAACACTATTATTCATAAAAAGATTTGAATTGTATAGGATTGTTTTCAAACATATGGATATCTAGTGCAATGATTCATATGCAACTCTTTTAAAAAAGTGACACAATAAACAATTAAATATTACACGCAGAAACGTTTTTAAAATTTAGATATTAGTCTGTATTACGAAATTTTTCATTGTCAATCAATTTTTTATTATAACTATATTAAAAATTATTCTTGCAAAGTTTAAGACCAATCTGTTAAAATCATGTGATGATCAATTATTTTGAAGGGGCTAAATTAAATTTTGCTTCTCTAAAAAATTATTTCTTTATAACACTGTATATGATTTTGCTAAAATTATGAGAAAGGCTACACTGGACTCCTATAGTTAACATTATTTCGTGGTGACTTGAGCTTATCATTTAAATTTAATGAAATTGTAAAGAAATATATTTTGAAATTAGATTTTACTCTTGTCGTAGGCGTATATTGAATATTATATCTATGAGACTAAAACCATACTCTCTTTTATAGATCTAATATTACTAATGTTTTTCGGTAGCAATTATACAGACTTTAACCACTCTCTCAAAAACACAGCCCTGTGCAAATTCCGTTAGTGACTCATTGTTAGTTATATATTGTGTATCAGGCTGTTTTATACTAGTTATGTAGATCAAATTAGATAAATGTAACATTACCTATCGAACACACTATAATTAGAAAATACAATTTTATACTGTATTCATTCTACATATTTCAATTTTAAGTTTCCTTAGTCAACCTGAAAATATTAAAGAGATTTAATATATCTTAATTATATAATAAGAAAATTATTTTTTTTAAATAAATATTAATTATTCAAAGTCTAATCATTTATTTTCTTGTTTCTATTAAAAAAATTAAAGTTGATGATATTTTAGGAAAATAGAAGAGAGGATATGACTATTTTTTTTCTTGAAAATTATGTAACATAGGATAACTTCTGATCAGAAAAAATTACACTTAATTAATAATTTTTTGAACATATTGGATATGACAGTTAACAAATCATCTGCATACAGTTATATTTAGAATATATTTAAAAATATTTACTATAAAACACAAATACATAAAATAAAAATACTCATGAAATTCTGAATTAGTTGAAAAAATCTTCACTTATCATCGTTCTAAGACACTTCACATCACCCGTACAAGGTCGTGGTATTTTGTATAGGTATTACAATGCATTTCCGGATGATCTGATGGACCCTTCATAAATAAAACCGGTTCTTTCAATAAAGAAGACGTGCTTCAAACGAATAAGAATTTGTGTCGATTACGGATTATGTGCCGTCGCTTCCAATCACCGGAATAAGTCATTAAGCAATCGAAGACTTAGATCTTTTATGAACTAAACGGTACATTTCTCACTTTTTTAAACTCAACTGAAGAATTGGGCTCTTACTTTGTTACCCCTATAATTGTAAGCAATCATTAAATACTCAAGGAAAATAAATAACCAAAAATAATATACTAGAAACAATTATGCATTATCCCAAATATTTTTGTAAACTTATAAAACTTGAAATCGATGATTAAAGAAGAGTTATGCATTCAATTATTCAGAAATACAAAAGAAAGATATTAAAAATAGTGCTCAAAATTTTGTTTCAACGGTATTCAAAATAAATCTGTTTAATATTTTACCAAAATATTATTTCATCATGCAATTATCAGTGAGGGTATCAGTCCCTCTCTTTTGTAATAGTAAATTATAAAGTAAATAAAATTGAAATTTTTTTAAAAATTTTAAAATGCAATTGATAAAAATAAAAATTTATTCCAACTATAAAACTTTCATCTATTGTATATAAACTTTTAAGAAAATATTTTTAGAGAGTTTCCAAGGTAAGATGTATAGAAATAGGTTAGTATCTCTATTAAAGTGCAAAATGGAGTCTTTATAAATGTGTCTTTAACAATCTGCAATAGTTTTTAGAAAAATTACAACTGTTTTATTTTTCTTGAACATAAATATGAAAAATTATTTAATATAAAATGTATAAAACTTTATTTTTAAAAATTCTTTGAATGTATTTTATTATATTTAAACATATTTAGAACAATAAATACACGCATTTCAGTAAAATATAATCTATATTTTAGTCACATAAGTACCTACAAAGTTATACATATAATACTAATTATGGTTTAATATGAAAGCACTCAGTATTTTTTAAAACTTAATAGATAATATATAAATAATTTATATTAAACACATATATTTTATCAAATAACGAAATAGATTTTACAATAACATTGTTTTTTCGGTATCAATCAATGTATTGCTTAAAATGTATTACAAATAATACTCTTTTATAACATTTATATTTTATTAAAATGGTAGAACGCTAAAAAACACAACAAAATGATAAAAATATACATTCACAAAATAAGACTATACCTAAGAATTAAGATTGCGTTTAATGAGAATCCCAACATATTTTCATAAAACTTAATTGTGAGTAAACAACTAAACTGTTATCAATATCAGTCATGTCTCTAGAATAAAATCAATTTTTAATAATTAATATTAGTCTTTAAATTCAACTTGAGAAATAAAGTAATTCTCAAACATTTTTGTGGCTACGATCGTATCTAGCAACATTAACTTTATCTAAACATATTATAAATAAAAATAGCACCTAAATATATTGAGATTTTTTTGTTTTCAAATGAGTCCAAAAATCGTTGAGCATTTTAGTAACAATAAACATTTTAGGTAACAAACAGTTTAAAACTATATTACTATTTTCAATATTGGTATACAAACAAGATGTGCAAATTAATTTAAATATCTATGCAATAAAATTATAATTTATTACGGCTAAACAAAACTATAATAACATAGTGTTTTTCCGGTATATCGTTTAACAATAACAACTAAAAATTTACATTTTATTACAGATGTAATATATAATATTTATGTATTAATATAAATATAAATTTAGTAAATTAAAAAAAAAATCACAAAGTATAATTCACTGGTACCATAGCAATCACTATATTGTTGTGTATTTTAATTACTCAGCTCTCTGGATAATGTTATCACCATTTTCGAAGACATGACGATGCAGTCCACCTATAGGTTGGCCTAACAACAAAAAATCCGAAAACATTGATCATCATATGCGTAGCATAAATAGAGCAACGTTGGAAATATCGTTGGTTTTTGCACCGTCCACAATGCGCATTTTAGGCGGAATAGGGCTGCAAACACACACATACACATATTTTTTGTGTTAATAAAGCAAAAGCTAATTGGACGAACACAGTTTATTTTTAATAAAATAATCAGTTGTAGAAAACCTACCTCAAAGTTTTAACCATCGATTCCATTGTCGCATGAATACGATCAAAATGGGGTCGGTTCTCAGGTTGGTACTGCCAACATTGTAACATTAAACGGTAAACCTCTTCGGGAGTTCCTTCAGGAGCAGGCATCCTATATCCTATAAAAACACATACAAATGTATTTTATAAAAATTGATAAATTCGAAAATTTTTTAAGTTAAATAAAAAAATAAATAAATTAAGTGATTTCTTATAAAGTCCTCGTATAGTGAGCTAAGTAAATATTCGAACATTGTCTAGAAAAGTAATTTGTTTCTAAAATTGTCATTGTCGTTTAATTATAGTTTAATCGGTCGTTTTAACATTTTCCTAATTGTATTAATCATACTTAAAAGTCTACAAGGTCCATTCCAAAAGTATCCGAACTCGCTTCACGCCTTTGAACGGAGCGGCCTCCGGTGGGCGGAGTAGGGGCAGGGTGATAGTGGGCATTTCTATCTATAAACTCAGACCACACTCAGTAGGCTGCAAGCAGCAGTTTCGTCGGTATGGTTCGCGCATTGAAGCTCTGTGAAGAAATCGCGTCGAGATTTCAATGATGCTACAAATGGAGCGAACATGAAGGAAGTCTACGGTGGTGAAATGATATCTCGGACGCAAGTTTAGACGTGGCACAGGGACTTCAAGGAAGGTCGCCATCCACCGCAAGACGTACACCGTTTCGAGAGGCATTTGAGTCTCAAGTTAATAGCGCAAGAAATGGGACTTAAACGCCTATCGGAGTCTAGACACGACTTCTTCACAGAGCTTCAATGCGAACGATACACACCGAATTGCTGCTCGTAGCCGAATCAGTCGGTTTGGAAGTACCCACTACCATCCTGACTCCATTTTTCCCGCTGGAGGCCGCTCCACTCAAAAGTTTGGAGGGAGTTCGGATACTTTTGGAACAGACTCTGTATAAGACGATGGTAAATTTGAGAAGTAAATTACTTTTCAAGACAATTTCCAAATATTTACTCGACTCGCTGTATATTGTTCTTATAGTATGAATTTTTACTTTTTTGATCCACTTATTATCAATTCCATATTGAAAATTCTTATTTTAACTTGGCAAGTTAAATTAATAATGCTTACCTGTATCTATTTTTTCCCGAGCTTTTGAGTTGCTGAGACCACTATATGGTGTGCCACCTTTAGCAAATATCTCCCAGCAAAGAACGCCATAACTCCAAACATCACACAGTGTTGTGTATTTACCTAAAAATATAATAAAATGAGTTAACAAATTGTACTTAGAGTTTAAATATTTCTTATTTTCACCAAAATTTAGAGCTTCGGGCGCCGTCCACTTGATTGGTATTTGCTTCATTCCATCAGAAACAATATATTCCTCTTCTTCTCTGGACATACCAAAATCCGAAATTTTCACTATATTATTGTCACCTTCATTGGTTAAATTTAATTTTGAAAATTATACATAATTAGATTATAATAGAATTTTTTGAAATGATTAAAAATAATGTTATACTGACCGACTAAACAATTGCGAGCTGCGAGATCACGGTGTATACAGTTTTTGCTTTCCAAGTACATCATACCAGCGGCTGCATCGCGGCACATTGAGACCAATTGAAATACAGTTAAAGTCTTAGAGTTATTTCTCAAATATGTCAACAATGACCCACCTGGAAAGAAAACATATATATATGAATACAAGTTTCATAATAAAATAATTATAAATTTACAGAGTGATCATAACCTACTCTTTAATTATAAAATATAAATTTGGTTTATTTTAGTTACGTATTGATTTATCAAGTATTAAATATTTTTTCAGTTTAGCCCTTATACTTTATAAGACTGTTAACTTTTAAATATTAACATAGATATTTAATGAGCTTATAAAATAGAAAATTAAAATTAAAATTTTCATACCAAAGAGAGAAGAGTGTAAATATTAAGAGTGAAAATATTTTCAAACTTATTATTTTTTTGTAAGTAAACGAGTTGGTTATGGCAAATGGATCATCATTTATTAAACGTTTTTAAATTAGTATAATTGTTGTAAACAAAAAATAATTTAAATGCAATTTGAATAAAAAATAGAATTTTAGTAGAATAATAAAAACGTTGCTTGTCTTCTTTTACCTGTGACTAGTTCCATGACTATCATAATCGGTTGTTTCTGTACACAGATTCCGATTAACTTGACAACGTTAGGATGATCGTATTGTTTTAAAATACGGCCTTCCTGTAGGAATTTTTTTTTGTGCTCATCAGGCACGGTAACTCGGCAAGTTTTCACTGCAACTTCTTGATTCGTTGATCGTAGCCTTGCTTTGTAAACGTCACCAAAATTACCCTACACAAATTATAATATATTTTTAATTGAACGAGGTTAATAGATATGGCTAATAAGTTGGCATTTACTCGGCCTATTTTTTCTAGAAGCATAACATCATCATTGTTTAGCTCCCAACGTTCTCTGGGAATTGGCTGTCGGAGTATGGCCCCCGATCGACTTGTCACTGGCAAGCCGCTCTGGTATTGATACGTGATGAGCTCTTGTATAGTGGGAAACGATGGTCCTTCAAAACGAAACTCACCCTGTTCAAAAAAATATCATTTTTTACATTGGTTAATTTATGTACTGACGTTTCATGAATGTACACGTACTTCAGAAGTAGTCTGAACAATGAAATGTTTATGGCCTCCCCAACAAACGGATAATACCGTCTGATTCTCGTCGTTTCTAGTCGTTTCCCTTACCAAAAAATCACCTTCTTTTCTCAACAGCCGCACAACTTCTTCTCTAGGTAACACTCCGTGAAACCATTCTTCTTCTATTAATGATTTCATCGAGGAACCAATCTATAATAGAAATAAATGTTGATGATTATATCGCAAAGTAGAGTACTATTTATTCTTGATGCGTTAAGATGCGTAGTACAAACAAAAAATAAAAATACAACACATTTTAAAACACACGAAAAATAAAGATAAACGCGAGTTAAATAAACACTAATGAAAATCACTTAAATGTGTTTATGTCATTTAGTAAAACAGAGTCAATAGGTATCAAGATAGTTGTAATAAACAAAGTTATTTTTATCACACGTGGACAGCATTTTAGTATAGTCAAAATATTGTTAATATGAACTCGCATAGTTTTATTTAGTATAAACAACGACATGTTAGTTATTTTTACCCTAATGTGTATTCAGAATGTATACATTAATAATATAAACTAAGTAAAATTTATGGTTAAATACCTAAAAACCATTGAAATGTGTAATAAATGACTTCTAAAAATATATAAAAAAATGGTCAATTTGAAAGTTTTGATTTATGGATAGAAATAATTAGAATAATACAGATAATATTTTGTAAGTATATGTTAGTACAAAAGCTTACCATACAAGGCAAAAAGTTGTTAGCATTATTGTCAGCAAACGTTTGGTACGGCAAAGGCGTAACGATCGGCCGCATGTCGACAATGACACCATCATTGCCATCCATGCTGTCGGACTGGTAGTGATTGCAGTTTTCACTGTTATTTGAACCTACTCCTGAACTAGCTGTGGTGTTCGTCACTGCAGTGTTATTGTTGACCAAGTTATTGTTCTCTGAAGATGGACTTCCATTACCGGAATTCGGTACAGATTTGCGACGAAAAGGCTTGCGAAGAATATCTACTAAGCTGGACGTAGCCAGTGTAGTGGCAATAGTCATCATTGATGCTGTTTGACTAACGCTTCCCAACGATGGCCTCTTCAATGACCCTTCGACCTATATATATATATATATAAAATATATTTAAGTTACTAAAACGATTTGTTAGCTTAAAAATTGGCATCTACTTACGATTATATCTAAATCGTTTATGTCTAACGACGGTAGATCACAACCGGATGGTAATTCTTCACAGCCAATTTCAAAAAGTGCTTTCTTTATAACATCCACTTGTTTTTGAAGTCTATGTTCTTCACTTTTAAGTTCAATCAATGATAAGTCACTGTAATTCAGGAAAAATAATTATTATTTTGGATGATCAACATTTTCAAAGCTCGACACTAAAACGTAGTATAGAACTGATCCAACAGTCGAGTAAAATAATACATTATGTATAAATACAAGTTTCAAGAACGGAGAAATTATATAACTGGCAAAATTTCAATAACCCACGCTGGCATTTTATAATAGTATTATGACACTTTAGTACAAACTTAAAAATGTCCTTTTATTAAAAAACGCAAATACAATTTTTAGTTTTTTTCTTTAAAAATTATGAAAAATATATGATATTAGAATCGAAAAATTATAGAAAAATAAAGTCTGAATTTTCTTTAGGTACGTTCAAGCGCGAATTGACGAAAATAAAATAAAAATTTTATACATTATTTTGTTTGAAAAATCTAATATGTAAAAATGACCATAACATAAAAAATATTATTTAATAGGTAGTATCTGTTAAACTTACGAATTTTTATCTGAGTTATTGGTTATATTAGTTTCAATAGCTTCTTGACATTCTTTTAGTCGAGTTTCGAGTTCAGTCATTTTGTTCCGTACCCAGTCCATGGTCAAATTGTCAACAGCTAGCTGATTTGCCTGCAGGTATCCAGACGTGTCATCCTGCACGAGTGCATCGTCAAATATAATTTCGATATCATTGCGTTCAGTCCTAAAATATAGTTGCATGACGAATAAGTATTTGACAAAATAGCCCATTGGATTATTAAACTCACTTTCTAGTGTAATCGTTGTATTCTTCACAAGGTTGTACTATATCAGTGCATGATTCCATTCTTACACCGATCTGAATGAACTCTTCTGATGCAGGATTCCACTGTGCGGCTAATTCAGACAAGGCGTTTTTCCTAATAAAATAATGAAAGCTTTAAATAACAATCCTATATAAGAACAGTAAACATTAATCGCCATGTATACATATACCAGTGTTTTATACTATATTGAGTATCTTTCGGATAAATTTAACAGCCACAGAACTGATATATGTCATTTTAGTCACAAGCAATAATATGTTTTGTCAAATAATGTTTCAAACCAAATTTTATCAACCATAACCATACATTTTTAGCCCCAATAGTTGTATGAGTCATTTCTCACCAAGTTAAAAAAAATATGCAAAATTAATTTCGATTCTAATGTATAATTTTAGTATCTTATTTTTAAACCACAGACAAATAGTTAAAAATTGTATCACAGTAAATAAAGTATATTATAACACTACTAGCATTGCCTTAAGGTACTAACAGCACAGGTAAGAACAATTAAAGCGATATGTGAAATTGATTCTTAATAGTTATTTTGATACGTAAACATGTCATATTTTTAACAAATGTGCGTTAGCCAGTATGTGTAGAATTTTAATGTTCAAATAAACTTTTCTCACACTTACAAATGCTCAATTAACATTTTATGATTACACTAATTGAAAAAAATAGCATGTTTGATTGTTTGACTTAATGGTATTGAAACATAAAAATGTCGATAATTTTATCGAGCATTTTTTTAGCCGGGTTTGATTCTTAATTCAAATATTCGATTATATTTTAATAAAAAAATTAAATTATAACAAGTAAACGACATGTTTACTTTGCGGTCGGGACAGTCGCAACTACTCCACTATCAAAATACTATTTTCGTTAAAGCACTTCATTAATTTTATTTCACCATTACAAGTATACATACCAGTCCGCTACAATATTTTCCAAATCTTGTCTGTGGTGTTGCATAAAAGCAGGCATCATTACAGTTTGAAAGTCTTTTTCTGATTCTTGAGCTTCAGCGATTAACAAAACGTACTCATTGTGGACCAAGTGCAATCGCCGACAAGCTCTTTGATATTTTTCTCTAACGTCGTCTAATTTTCTTCCTCCTCGGCCACCTAAAAGTTAGTACATTAAATTAACATATATAAAAAAATCGTTTTAATTTAAATAAGTTAAAAAGAGAAATTTTTAAAGTATAAAAGTGTGAATAAATAATAATTTCGAACAAAAATTATAGATTATGAATTATTTGCAGTTAAAAACAGATTAAAAAGTTTTTATAAATCATTATATTTACTTTTAATGTAGTGTTCTTCAAATCTAGACCTCATTGAACGATATATTTCCAAGTGCTTAGTATAATCAGCTTTCTTCCTCGATAACTCATCAATAAGCTAAAACGAAAAGTAATAAATCAAAACGTACTTAAGACTTGTTACATTCATAAAAGATTTTAATCAATAATGTAATTTTTTAATTATTTGCTAAATCATTATATTACAATGTTATTAACTTCTGGGTTAAACCAGAAAATAAAATTGCATCACAATAGAATTTCTGATACTATCTATCACATAAATATTAAACGTAGTTTAGTTTCAACACATTGAATTTACTTTAAAAGAATAGAAATTATATGTCGTTTATTTCTTTTAAGTATTAATTATAGATTAGGTTTATTCAATAAAACTTGAAATCGAAATATAATGACAAACAATTATGTTCGAAGTACTGTTATATCTCTTGATACCATTTTTAGTAGGCTCCACTTATACATTCTAAAATTTTTAGTTTAAACCTTAATCATTTCTCTTATATTTCAATAACAATATAAAAAGTTTAGGTACGTGCCTTTGTTCTTATCATATATGCAGATTTATATTTAGATAAAATTCTAAGCATATTGATGTTGCTTAAAAGGAATATGAGGAGAATTTTACGCTCTTGAATTTACGATAAAATGTTATATAATTGTTTTATTAAGCAGTTCACGTATAATAAAATATTAATAAATGTTTATTTTTTTTTTATACTTATTTAATAAAAATTATAGTTGTTATATTAACACAGCAATAATAGAAACATATTTATACATAATACACATTTCTATTATTCTCATGACGTTTATGGTTTACCCATGTAAAAATATTATGTAAGTACAACTTTAGAAAAACCCAACACTTACCTTGCGAGGCAGAACTATAGTTGAATACCAACTCATAGTTATGTAAATTACTAACAATTAATACGATCGGTTAAAAATGGCCTTAAGTAAAAATATTTGCATTCACTAAAAACATTTCAAAATGGACGACCCAACATTGTCAAATAATACAAAGATTTTAAAATAACGTTTCCTGCATACCAATAGTGTCAACAATTATTATTAAGTATTATGTATGTGTTATATCTAATTTAATAGTATTTAAATTCTATATTACAACTCCCACATAAATCATCCCATCCTACATAGTGTTAAATGACCTACAGAAGTTACGTCAAGTTCAAATGATGCGATTAAAACTTAATTTATTTTAAACATAGTATATTATGTTAAGTAGGTAATTATAAAATACGTCATCTTTAAATAAATAACAAATTTATTTTTATTGGTCACTAAAAAAAAAGAATAAGTAGGTCTATTGTTACCATTACCTTTCCCAATAACATACTGTAAAAATGTATTTTCCGTTTGTTTGATTTTTTGAATATATAATTACATAAAACCCCATGGACAGACTAATATTGATTTATACTTATCCATTAACTCAACAATTTAGAACTTGTTTAGGTTTACTGCAATCCGGTTCAATTAACAATATTACAGTAAATCCTAAGATTATAAATCATTAATATAATTATTACTTTTTATACAACTAACATTGTTATATTTAATTATAGTAAATTATGAGTGGTAACAAAGACGTATTAGCCTAATTTATAATATAAATTTTGGTATTAATATGATTGTCGAGTAAATCAATAATTATTTTTTTCAGTTAAAAAAATATTATTTAATTATTACAAAAACGTTTTAATTTGTAAAAAAAAAACAAGCTATTTATTAAACGAAAATATTATAAGACATATATTGATAATAAATTTATTGATTTTACCAAGAAATTTTTTCATTATAAAGTTTACGTAAACAAAAATTAATCTTCGAAAAAATATAATACGTTAAAATTGAAATTTTTTTCATTATTGAGTAGTAATAATTAAACATTATGAACGAGACTATAAGGTTAAATATTTTCGATACAATAGGAAGTATACTACACGATTATGTCTGAAAATTGTCATAATATGACACCAAGAAAGATTCAACTGCGAAGACGTTTATTTTGGGGCAAAGAGCACTATAGCTAGCAACGGTTGCGACTATCTATACTTATTTCGAGAGCAATAATACACATTGTTGGCAAACTGGCAACGATTGGCGACGGAATAATAACTTCTACTGTGTATAAAATAAAAACATGTACAATAGGAATAAACTAATATGTACTGTGTTAGCCGATGGACAACAAAAGACAGGTCGAAAACAACAGAAAAATAACGTAACCTTCCCACTATCGAAAAGCCATACTGAAGTGAACACGCAGTGCGAATGGTATTTCCGGAGTTACACTTTTTAGATTTACTGGTGTACCTCGATCCGATCACCCAGGTTGGACTTATGTCCTCTACCTTCTGATTCGATTTCCATAAACAACTACCACCAACCGATAGATCAAGGATTAGCGATTATTTTTTCATCCAATAATTAAAACGTATAAATTGTATCCAAGTGGTCTTTATAAATTTTCAAGACTCAAAAATAGCTTGATAACATAATTCAGACTCACTTTTTTATTTGAAATTTTTTTTTTCGTACACACTGGACAACTGGTAAAACTTGATCTATCGGATATACTGTAGATGTAGTCAATATCATTATGAATACTCTCAACTTTTCAACTCTAAGTATATCTTTCTAATTATATCGTCGTTATTTTTTTATTAGTTCACTAAAAAAAATCTATGTATGAAGGATCATTCTTTTTGAGATGACCTGTCGTCGTCATCTCATAACCGTCGTTGGATTATCATAATTTTAATGAATCGACAAAAATGAAGTTGATTATCCCAAGTTTCTACCAAGTTATTATTTTATTATTAAAATAAATAAACTGAAATCAAATGACACTAACTTCATATCGAGTTGTTCCTTTTTGTCAAAACATTTTTTTATCCCCTCCGTGTTGTGAAATAAGTTCAAACCATTGAGTTTATCTGGCTTTTATTCGTATTCAATAAAAATATACGTACATAATATTATACAGATACTACTATATTATAAAGTATATGAATAACATGTACACACAAAGCGGACCTCCCGGTACACGAACCTGTGCGCCGTATCTCCACTCTTCGAGAACAAGTAACTTGTAATGTATATAATACGATGAAAAGAAAAGAAAAAACACATACACCGTACTGAGGATAGTATAAATTATGTATGTGAGTGCGTATGTATTGGCCTTGAACACGGTGGTGGCGCACAAAGTCGTTTGCCGCGGTCGGTCTCATTGTTCCAGAGAAAAAGAAGAAGAGACGCAGAGGACAAGAGAACGACACTACGTGTAGAACGGCAAAAACTTCTACCCGACATCACCGTCGTTATAGAACAGACGAAGAGAGGACCTACTTATTTACTATTATCAATATTTTTCTTTTATGTATCCGATATTATACTGTTTCTTGTTGCATTTACGGTTGAGATATTATGACGCATTTTCCACCATGAAAATCGTCGACAATAAGCATCATAGATAAAAAGAAGTTTTCAAATTAATGTAGGCAAAACTAATGCAAAACTAGTCACGTGCAAGGAGATCCATTAAAATGTTAAACATTTTACTTGTTTTTTGAGTGTTTATATTTGCGCAAAAAGTGTTTACTCGCTATTTTAAGTATCAATATTTTAGATTGTTAAAAAAAATTACTTATTAGCATAATGATACGCATGAGTAAACAAAATATAATTCTATAAAATAATGAAAACTATTATTTATTTGTTCTTTAAAAATTGATATTGAAAAAAAAAAATTGTATAATTGAAGCATTATTAGATCAATTAATTTAATAATAACATATTAAAACAAGACAAAGGCGCTGATTAAATACTTGTACACAATAAATATGAATGTAATGAAACAATTTTTTAAAATTAGATAACAAATAAAATTAACGTCCGGTGATAAATAAACAAATTATTTGGATTTTTAATTTAGTACTATGATAAGCAGCAAAAAAAAATTAAATATATAGAGTTGTTAATTTTTGTAACTCTTGAAATTATAAATATTTAAGTTCAGAAGATCTGTTTATTCGCAAATAATTATAAGATAATGTATTAATTGAATGTCTATAATAGTTTACCCAATAAATGGTTAATCAGGACAATTTTCTAATCAATAAATTCAAAATTATTTTTTTTTAGATATAATTATCAAAGGGAATTCAAATAAATTCTAAAATAGGATAGATAATAAAATAAAAATAAAGTAATTTTTCAGTAATTAAAATTCCAAAGAATGTGTTCTCGTAAGCACAACTCATTAACATAAATTAAAATATAACTTATACTAGATAATATTTAGTATAATGCTTTTAAATCAATATATTATATTGATTTAAAAATAGTATTTTTAGTTTTACACAGTTATAGTAGTTATTTTACTATTAAATTAGTAGTATTATTATACAATAAAAAGTATTGGACATCCCACTACAACGAAAATAACATATGAATTACGAGTATGAACGAACAACAATCATAATAAATCTGTCTGGTGATCTAAAGGTTGATCCTTAAGTATATCTTAAGAAGTAAGTATTCAACATTTCTAATGTACTAGTTTAAGGTTCATAATGAAAATTACGACTTAATTACTTTTTTGCTCTGTGAAAACATCTTAAATATTATTAATAAATTAATAATAATTTTGATATTAAAATAAAAAAATCAATTATTTTAAGGTCACGACATGGGTGTTTAATACCTTGAATATGGTAGGTTTTTCCTGAATAGTGAAAATATGTTAATTTTTCATTCATAAAACTTAAATGAATACATACTAGTATTCCATTTTATTAAAACTTCATGTAATTGAACTTTTAATTTGTAATGAACAAAAAAAACACTTGGGAATTACCGGTATATTTCTTAAGCTTTAAGGAGGGTATATTAAATTCTAATAAATTATAAATATCGACAACATACAACTGGAACTATACTAGACTAGTAAAATATATTGTATATTTGTAAAATAAATTTGCATTACACAACCAACTCAAGGTCTTTCACGAACAATTGGAAACATTACCGTCAGAAGAAAAACTTTCAAAT